GGTTGCCATAGGACATTCATTGCTGAGGAAACCCCTTTGCAGTAGTGTCCGTCCCGATGAAAATCCTAGATTAGGTCCCTTGTAATAGTAGTTGTCATAGGGACGTAAAGTGAGGATAACGGGAATGGGTAATCGGGTTATTGTTGGTTGGTGAAATTAAATATAATTATTTATTGTGGGTTAAAAACCCTATATGCTCACTAGGCTCCCAAGTCTGACCCACTCAGTTTCTTTGTATTACAGGTAGTGGCGCGAGAGCATAAGTTGGAGAACTTGTGAAGATATTTTTGTTTATACACCAGTAGTTGTATGTAACTGTGTAAGGTCTATGTTTTATTGTTTATGCTTTTGTGTCTGTATTGGAACATGACATCCCGAGTTTTGGTATATAATGAATATACATTTCTTAAAGAAATGCTTTGATAAACTTTATTTTATCATATTTGGGAACAAATTCCGCAACCTTTTTAAACCAATGGATTTACTCTAAAATTATTTTAAAAACATAAATGAAACTGGTCTTTTCTGGCCATGATTTTGGGGATGTCACAACCTCCCTCTTCCGTTTTAAGTAGAACTACCGAAAGGGTTTGATAGGATAATTGTGAAAACTTAAAAGTATTTAATAAATAATAAGACAAAATCCTATTTTAATATAAATGTGAATCTTATGCTTGCCATGGAAGTTATGCCTTCTCGTGTATTCTTTTTGGCATTATGCGTGTGTGGTTTACCAACTCATCAGATGATAATATAGTCGAAGAAATGTATATGGTGATCGCAATTCTCGAGCGTTACTTGAGTTAAATACCATTGTAACCTTGCATGGTCGATTCTCTAATTTGGATTCATGATCATCGGCTAATTCATCCATTAATGCTAAATGAGCATTAGAAAAGATTAACATGCTATTGACATAAGTCAATAAATCTCGTTTTTTAGGAATCTCATAGAGATTGAGATCAACATTTGTTTGTCCACCTAAATCAATTGATTGTGTAATTTTTGGCTAATCCACTTTACATCATGAAGTTAAATATGGATCCTAGCCTTTTAATTAATAATTTAATAATGGGTAATTATCTTAAAAGTATTTCTTGTTCAAACTAATCGTGTTTCTTTTTCTTTATAGATGGCTCCTGGTTCGAATGCCAATCTCCCTCCTACACCAATCACTTCATCAAACTTCTCACTACTCTATCTCATCTCATGAGATATGCTCACTGGTCCAAACTACCTTTATTGGATTTGCAACTTGAGGATTGTTTGAGGTACGAGAAAAGGAGTATGTATTGGATGAGTATCTGTATGAGGTACCTCCTGAAGCTACAATTGAATAAGAGGTTGTTGAATATGGAAAACATTGTCATCACTCTATCAAGGTTTTGTGCCTGATGTTGGCGACAATGTCTCCAGAAATCCAAAAGAATTTTGAGAATCTCGGGGCATACGACATGAATAATCAACTTAAAGACGTGTTTCAAGAGCAAGCTCAGACTGAGAGATTTAAGTTCATGCAAGAAATTCTAGGTTGCAGGCAACAGAATAATATTTATATGAGTACCCATGTGCTAAAATTAAAAGGGTATTTTAACAGACTTGAAATTATTGGCTTCCAATTCACTCAAAACTTGGTTACTGATGTCATTATTAACTCTTTGACTAGTACATGCAAGCAACTTACTATGAACTACTATATGGATGGTTTAGAGGAAAGTATTATGGAGTTACATGGAATGCTCAAGACTACTGAAGAAAGTGTTGTTCCACCAAAGGAACCCAACCACTCCTATTCTGGATATTAGGGAAGGTGGTGTAAAGAGAAAAAGGTCCTTTCATCCCAATGTTAAGGAAAATGGAAAAAGGAAAGTTGTTGCTTCTAATTCCATCCATAAGAAGGACTTTTCTGACATACCGCCTATGAATGACCCTCAAGAAGCCATATGCTACTACTGCCATGAAAATGACCATTAGAAATGTAGTTGCCTTAAATATTTGTAGGATCTTAAGAAGAACAAAGCCAAGGGTGTTGGCTCTTCAAGTATGTTTACGATTGAATATAACACATAATAAAGTTTTCTTATCTAAAATATATTTTTTACATCATATTTCATCACATGTTATATTTATATACAAATAAAACATGTGTTAGTTATCGTTATATGTTATACTCATATATGAATAAAACATTTATCAAATTTTTGTAAAAGTTCATTTGCTATTCATATATGAATAAGTAGTATGTTAATATAAGACGAAGTGTTTTGAAAATTTGAACTACTTATTCATATATGAAATACAAATGAACTGTAACAAAATTATGTTAACATACTATTTTTCATATATGAATAACAAATTAACCGTAACAAAATTATGATAAATGTGTTCGTCATATATGAATATAACTTATGAGGAAAACTAATACACGTTTTATTCATATGTGACTATAACATGTGACGAGAGCTGATGTAAACTGTAATGAGTTTATTATGTGTTATATTCATATATGAATGATACTTGAACTATAAAAAAATTAAACATACTTTTTATTTATAAGTGAATAACGATTCAAATTATTAGCTCCAACCGAAGGAATTGTAGCTTCTGTAACTATTTGTATAATTTCATCAACACTTTGCATCGGTTGATCAAGCTCACCAAATTGATCTATTGCATTTTCTTTTGCTAATTCTGTCGACAAGTTCTTCAAAAATCATTCATGGTTTTTTTATCTCATCAAGTGTTATCCGCTTAGCAGGATCAGCAACAAAGATTTTGGAGATTAAATGGCGACACTCGGTGGAAATATGAACGTAAGATGGAATCGAGTATTGGACATTCAGAATTCATTGTATAGTCATGCGGAAATTCTTGGGTTCATCATGGTCTTCAAAAGGGTAAGCTACAACAAGCATGCCATATAATGTTACACCACATGAACATACATTTGCAATCTTGCCATCATATTCTTTTTTAAGCAAGACTTCACTTATTCGATTTGTTGCAGGTTCGGACTAGGTGAAGAAGATGAACAGTAGCTTCGTTCTTGGCTTGGAAGAAGTAGTTGATAAGTAGTGATGGTTGTTCGAAGGAGGTGGCGACATATTGGTTTATGTTTTTAGGTGGTCTCGACTAGAGGCATGGGTTCGAGTATCGACGGTAAGGGCGAAGGTGGAGAGGTGGACTCAGTGATGATGCAAAACCCAAGACTGTTTCCAGTTTCTCGATGAGCAAGGATGGGTAGAACTCGAGTCTCGGCAAGAGGGCAAAGAACACGACAACAGTTTTTTTATGTTCCTTTTATTTGTTGCAGGTGTTCTTTGATGGAGAAGATGAAGAGCATCAGTAGGTTTTTTCTTTTGCTAGTGATGGAGGTTGTGTAAGGGAGGTCTAAAGTGGTGGCTATAGATATGGTTTGTTCCGGTACTCGATCAACGAAGAAGTGGCTCTAATGGTGGGTTTCTCGGTAAAAGCTCTTCTCTCTTTTCTTCTTCTTCTTCTTCCTGGTTCGTTTCAATCGACAGAAAAGGAATCAAATACATATGACAACTTCGATGAATCGGAAGGGCGTATCAACACGTAATTGACTGGGTTTACCTTTATCAGTAGATCCCGATCGTCCAGTCGATTGGGGGAATTGATTTGGGGAGAAATTCAATTTTGTTGATGAATGGAGGATACAATCGACTGGTGTAATGGGTTAAATGAAAGTAGGATTGTTGGGTACCTACTCAGTCGATACGATAGAGGCATTTACGGCAAAAATAAATGAGTTGCTGAGAATGATTCTCCTATTCTCAACATTTTTTATTTTCTCAATTGAACTTATATATATATATATATATATATATATATATATATATATATATATATATATATATATATATATATATATATATATATATATATATATAGGGGGGGTTATACGAAAATACAAATAATTTGCGAAAACACAAAAAACCTATGAGATTATGCCACCTCAACATTATCTTTTTGGACAATAATTCATCGAAACTTTGAAATACATGATGATAATCGATAATAGATGAGAAATTGTGTCATATTAGCAAAGTATGATTTTTGACATTTTTATTATGAAAACGTAAATTTAAAAATGCTTAAGGAAGTGAAAAAAAAAAAAGTAATTATTAAAAACGTTTTTAAATCTATATTATCATAATACAATCTAATGTAAACTTATTATCTTTAATTTATTACTAATAAATTTATTTTTTATAGTAAATGTATTCAGTTTTTATAAGATAAAATCTGTTTTCGCAAGATATTTATGTTTTTTTGCGTGAACCTAATTCTCTCTCTCTCTCTCTCTCTCTCTCTCTCTCTCTCTATATATATATATATATATATATATATATATATATATATATATATATATAGTTTGGGACCAAGAATGAGAATAAGAACATGACCGGACCGGACTCAAACAGTGTCGAACACTCCCAAAGTCCAATTCGGTCCAAAACCTAGTTTGGCACCTGAAACTAGATCGGACCGAAACCAAACCTGATACACCCTAAACCAATCTGGTTTTCGGTTAAAGTAATTAACAGTTTTCGATCTTCGGGTCGGTACAATCCGGGTCCGGCCCATTGCTCATCCATATGCTAAACCTGTGAAAAAAACATTCTAATTTTGGATTTTTTTTTCCCCTTAAAAACGACATTATTTGGTGATTTTATAGAATTCTGCAAATTAAAAAGATCATGTAATCCACCAAATTTGTCCAATTTGTTTACTAAAAGACCGCTTACTCCACCTAATTGCATTAGAAAATGCGAATGCCTGTATTTGTAACAGAACTCAGTTGTACTTGATATTCAGACACGTCACATTTGATTGAATGATTTAACAAACCCAAAACTTGCTTCATAAACACCAAATCCAATTCGATTGTTGTTAAACACTTGACAAGAAATCAACTCAACCACGAGTTTTAAGCCAAATAATGTACAAGAAAAAAACTTCAAAAAGACATGATTAAAAAAAAAAAAAAAAAACCAAATATCACCAACTAATTTTACACATGATCCCATCCCATCCCGCAACTCACAAAACCACACCAATAAAACCACCGTGTCAACCCAAACATCACCACCAAATCCTATCTACCACCACGCACTACTAATCAACCAACCTACCACTCACAACTTCACCGCCGCCGGACCGCTAGTACTACCACCACCACCGCCTCCAACTCTCGCCGCCAACGCAAGAACCTCCGGCGACATTTCCCAGCTCCCACTCTTCCTCCCCCAACTCGACCGCCTTGCATGTATAATATTCGCACGATCGCCCTCATCAACTTGTGTTCTTATCTCCGGCGACATTTCTCCAATTCCACCTTCTTTAATATTCAAACCTTCATTGTCACTAAGTTGGCTATCCACTCCAGCACCACCGTCTCCCCACACCGCCTTCCGCCCCATTTCAATGTCCTCCACCGCCTTCCCCATGTTAGGGGACACAAAACCGCCGCCAACCGATCGGCCACCGAGCCCAGGTTCTTTTGGAACGTATGCACGGAATTTGTTCTTGGAATCAGGAATGCTCGTGCAAAAGATTTCTCCAAAATTTTCTAATACTCCTTTGTTGTAGGGGTTTGCTCTCCTGTCATACCGATATCTGAAGTTCTCGTATGTTGTCTATAAAGATAGATTGAAAAATCAGCATAAAAAAAGGATAAAATTGGATAGATGAAAGTAAATTTCTATTTCTTGCATTTAGTGGGAAAAAATAAATGATGAAAATTGTTGATGACCTGATTTGTGCTGATGAGATACAAATGGAAGGCAGTGAGGCCACCAACGAACCAGACTGATATGAAAGTGTAGACGATTAAGACAATGGATGCAGGGGTTTTGATCATTGCTTTCCATAATGTTATGTCTTCTGAATCCATGATTCTTTTAATGTAGATCCAGCAGAAACTAAACACGTATATGCAAAGTAGTGTTGTGGAGAACACAAACATGAAGAAGAATCGATAGTTTCTCTGCAATTTGATTTCACCAAATGGGAAAGTTAAAGAAAAGTGGAAAGAAAACAGGAAAATGCACAAAATGTAAACAAAGCAACAGTAGACATTTGATCCTTATTTGGAATTGACCTCTATTGCGTAAAATTACTATGTTTCCCCACGTTTTAGAATTGCATACCAAAAAAAAAAAGACTAAATTTTTAGTCCCTGTGTTTTTCATTTACATCCCAAAAAAGAAACTTTTTGCATTTTTGGTCCTTATCAGAGGGTTTCATCACATTTTTGCACCCTGTCCCATGTACAATGACTAGTTTGCCCCTTATGTGAACAGACAAGTAATTTAGTCTAAAAAATAAAATAAGGGCACAATCAGAATTTTACATGGGTTTATCGCCTCAAATTAAGGGTCATCACATCCAAAACAAACACTATAACAAAAGAACCAAATTTTGTAACAGAGCTAGCAAGATTCATTCTTAAACATGAGAAGGGCATTTACGTCTTTTGCAAAGACAAGAGATCGATAGCAAGTCTTTGTCCCATCTTTTTAAGTGGGACAAAAAATTACAACTTTTTTCTCCCATTCACATCAATCCCACATGCAAAACATAGTATAGTCTGTTGACTCTGTTCTGTTTTGTCATATCCAACAAATACAAATAAAAATGTAAAAATATAAAGATAATTTGGAGAGAGAAGACATATCATACCAGGCCTATACACTGTCCAACCCAAGGGCAATGGTGATCAAATCTTTCAACACAATTATTGCAGATAGAACAGTGTGAGCATCGAGGAGGTCTATAAAGCATGCAAGTATCACAGTATTTGATCTTCACAGTGACACCATTAACTTCAACTTCTTTAATACGTGGAAGCCTTAATTGTGGGGTTTGATTACTACCTTCAGCATTTCCATCAAACCCTTCTGGTTCTGGAGGATGTGCATTTCTTGGGATAATACCAGGGTCTCTCCCAGAGGTTAGAAGGAGAAGTACTAAAACCTGAGACATTTAATTGTATAAAAGATTTTAGAATTAGAAGTTTAGGATAATAATCAAGTTTAAAAACATATTGGAACTTACATGGACTGTGAATAAAATGGCCACAACCATAACTGATATCCCCCAGTGTTCTTCAAATTCATTCATCAGTTTTCTTGCAACAAAGACACAGAAAACTGAAACAGGAGCTACCACAAGGAATATGGTCAGCACCAGTGATCTTACATCAGGTCCGAATACAAATCTTCCCTGAAGGAAAAATATCTGCAATGCAAACTATTTAACATAAGTTTCATGAAATTCAATGGATACTGTAATCTCATTATACCATTGAAGCACTTGTGGTTGATGTACAAAAGTCGGTTTTTTCTAAAATCAAATTGTGTGTGTGTGTGTGTGTTTTTTTTCAATTTCTTCTGGAAATGATGACTGTGATGTGTGAAGGAATTATTGTTACTATTATGTATGCGTGTTTTGTAGGTCAAATTTTGAAAAAGACAGCAAATGAACATGAATTCAATCTAATAAGTAATAATATCTTCGCAACATGAAAAGAAATAGCTAATAAATGATAAAAATTTCTAGGGTACGCGTATCACGAGTAAACACCACATCGTCGTGCAGAAAAACACGTAAATTGTAGTGAAATTAGCGTTGTAAGGCTCTAGGGTAAATTGTACGAAGTGACTGCAACTTAATCGTTGATCTTACATAAATTTACAAAGAAATTAAGAAGCAAGTCGCCATAACCGAGATTCATGAAACATTTTTCACCAAAAACTCAACAAAACGGGTTGATCCGAAGAGATCGAGCAAAAGAACACTTACATTGCTGCCTTTCCATGTCTGGTAAATTCTCAAGTTATCCTGCCCGTTTGTGGATCCAGACAGAGGATCGGAGCGCTTCGGAGGAGGGACCACATACATCTTTTCTCTCTGTCTTTTCCTTTTCTCAAATCTGAACTCGAGATCTTCACTAATACGTTCCAACACACACTGAAAATGTAAATGCGCTCGAGAAACAAGAAATCATATAAAGTAGAGAAGACGATACTCCACCAATTCCAAAAAGCCACTAAATAAATTAACAACAACAACAACAAAAATTCGAGCCGTCGGAAAATGTAAAAGTAGGATTTCGGCGACTCTTTCACTCCGACGAACGGAAGAACACTTTAAAGGGTGTTCACTTCAGGGTTTGATTGGCCGACAAGCCATGAGAGGGAAGAAAAGGAAAAGGGAAAGGGTTTTTGCGAGAGTGTTGTTGAGTGTAGGGTCTGGGGAGTGTGGGTGTGGGTGTACTTTATTTTCCTCTATATCTCATTCTAGCTTTACAGGATAGTCAATAAGTGACGTGGCGTTATCTTAGTGGCCACGTCATTTTGTGTTTTGGACTGGTCTGTTTCTCTCCTATAGGGAAAATGCTACATTTGTTTCGCTACATTAAGAGAAATAAATTAGTAATCATGGTAATTAATAATTTGGTTGACTAGATTCAATGTGTCTTGAATGAAATAAAAACAAGCCAAGTAAAAGCATTTGTTGTGTTGTTAAATGTGTTCTCTGGTTAGAAGTTTGACTATAGTTACATAACCAATCAAGTAAAAGCAATTATATAGATACAAAGAATTAACATGGTTCGGTCGGTGTTATAAGGATCGAAAAACTATTCTATTAGTAGACTGTGTTCAATGTAATTACATTGGAATCCCTAGCTACGAATAATTATAATTATAAACCCTAGCATATGTTGTGTCGAGCTCATATGCAAGTGAATCCGGAAAAAACTAAACAAACTACTTCAAACATGTATAACTTCAAAATCGTCATTCAAGTTTCTTTACTTTGTTCTAGATCGGGTTACTTACTTCGGGTCCCTAAAATCTAAGTTACATTCTAACAACTCCAAAATATGTAAAAACATATAGGACAATGTATAACATAGATGGCTAGACATATATTGAGTCAATCATATGAAAGCTCGATGGAATTGATCATTAAACATGATTTGTTTGTTTTTTTTAATGACATTAGACGTGTATTAAGTCTCTAACACGGGAGAATGGGGCTCTTGCCATGTTATACGTGTGGAGTGGAATCTTATATTTTCTCTATAAAATAACTTTTATTGAGATTTATAAGACTTCAAAATATATGTGTGTAGGCATATATGACTTGTCTAGCCGATAATATATCCATTGAGTCATTGGTGTGTCAACTTTAGCTCTAATATCATGTTAGATATGTGAATTTTTTTATATAAAAATCATTTGATTGGAGATGTAAGATTCTAACATATATTGAGGCAAATATGATTGCTTCGAAACTCCAACAATCACTAAATGGGACATAACATTAAAATTTCAACGAATAAAAGTAACAGAATTTTAATCCAAAACAAACCACACTACTAATATGAATGTTGAATAATATAAAGCCTAAACATTTATAATTCAATTTTTAGGTCAAAATCAATACTTCCCAATTTAAATTGATTCCCGACTAATTTAACAAAAAGGTCTTTTTCTCATTGTAATGTAGGTTACAGAATTATCATGTGAAAGTTCATGAAAGAAATCATCAGATGTGAAGTGAAAAACCCAGTGGATCTTGACCTGAAAAGTTACTCTGCATGCATGCGAGTCAGTGTCACTACATATCAGTTATGTTATCAGTTATGTCCCTGATTCATCTTTAAACATCATGACAGAAGGAAAGAGGAAAGAAAGAGAGAAAGGCAGTAAGTATGCCATACCTCCTTCTTCGTGTTGTTGTTCGTATTGACATTTTGACGAACAGTTCATTGGCATGATCCCTCAATCTTCTCAAATCCATCATCAATCATCAACTTCAATTCAAGTTCCATATTTTTTATTTACATTTTCACACAACGCTCATCGCAAATCACAGTATGGTTTTGTGCTCAAGTTGAATTGGGTTAAAGATTGCTCTGTGTGTGTTCTTGGCGTAGGACTCGCATGCACGCCACTACTGGATCTTCTCTTCAACCAAATTTCTAATGTCTTTTTCATTAATCATTACCCTTCAATGGTTTTCATGCATGCCTGCACTTTTTAACTTTTTCCCCTACAACTTTTAGCTATCTATCGGTTAGTTCTTTTCATATTTCACATAGCTACCCTAAAGTTTCAACTTTGTAACTTCTTTTAACTCTTTTTTTTTGCTTTATATATATATATATATATATATATATATATATATATATATATATATATATATATATATATATATATCCGGTAAGAAATTTTTTTTGTTAGGAAGATAAGAAGTTTTTTTTCTACATAGTTTTTTCACGAACAAAAAAATGAATCACTAGATGATTCATTTGTAAAATGATTCATAAGAAAAAATTCTCAAAAAAACATCTTTATGATTCATTTTTAAGTAAATTAAGAAAAAATTCACTTTAATGACAATTTAGTGAATAACAACAAAATCATTATATAAATGAATCATCGAGATGTTTTTTTGAGAATTTTTTCTTGTGAATCATCTTACAAATGAATCATTTAATGATTCATTTTGTTTGTTCGCGAAAAAAATATGTAGAAAAAAAACTTCTTACCTTCCTACCAAAAATTTTCTTCTTATTTGATCTTGATTCTATATATATATATACACACACACACACACACACGTTGTATCGACTTGGGTCTCCCACTACATCAATTTTCAAACATTTTTTTTAATAAGGTTCTAAAAAGTTCGTTATAGCATGTCATGGCTCCAAAGTTTGTCAATGCCGTCAAGTTTTACTAAAATACTGCCTTAACTCATAAATGTATATAAAAATAAGTAATAATTGAAAATACATATAAAAAATATTAATTATATACAAAATTATCGTCTTAAGTTACACTTTACAAGCAACGTGGTTCGCCAAGGCCTAAAAAAGCTTGAAGATTTATAGTACCACTAAAGCACACCTTATGTTATTTAGAACATTGATTTATATGATGTTGCTTTCAAATTGTGAGAGTTAGCTTTTTATTTTTATTTTCAGTATTGTAAAAATTATTAATATAGAAAAGGGAGTGTAGGCCATACCTAGTCGTATTATCACCTCCCCTCATTTCATTATAGATATGGATATGAATTTGATTACGACCATTTAATAAGAGGATATGAATTTGATTACGACCATTTGATGTCTCACGATATATAAGTGTCAACTCTTTGTTTGTCTATAAAAGTAGTTTAAAGTAGACATCTTCCGTATGTTTGATTCTTTATTTTTATTTTTTTAGCTCGAAAATCCTTATGTTTTAGTTTTTTTTTTTTTTTGTGTGTGTATTTTAAGAGCTTAGCTACATACATCTAAGGTGAGACTTAGGACCTACCTAAATTTTAATATTTTCTAGAAATTATATAGAAATTTTTTTAAGATCTAACTTTTAGTATTGGAAAAAATTAAGAATATACTTAGTTTCAATGAGTGAACCACATGATTTTTATTTCTAAATTTTTCATTATATTTGGTCTTTTTAGATATGAAAAATACTATTTTTCCCTTATTAATTTATTTTTCAAAATTTTTATTATTTACATCCACCATGTATATTAGAGATGTCGTTATTTAGTCTTCACATACTCTCTCTATCTTTCGTTCTCTCTCTCTCTCTCTCTCTCTCTCTATATATATATATATATATATATATATATATTCTTTAAGTTAAGTCTACTTTGATTTTTGGGAGAGTCACAATGCGGCTACTGAATGGTCATGATGTGTGTCATGTCACTAAGTAGCGACGCAAAGCCGCAGTCACAACCCAAAACCCTAAGTCTCGATCCTTGAGCCATATTTAAGGAATAAGAAGTTTAGGGTTTCATTTATTCTCAACCTCTATTCTCTCTAAATTAGAGCCCTAGCCTTTGTGTGTGTTGGTGAGCCTTATGAGAGTTTTTGGAGTTTCTTGTTGAAGAAGAAGACAATTGGTGCTCGGAGAAGCCTTGTCTGGTTGAAGTTCCCCCCCTTCTAGACTCTCTATAAGCATTGTAACTTATAAAGTTCCTCATTTTATTCGTTTTCATGCATATAAATAGGCTTCGAAAGTGATTTTGGGCTATTTAAGTTTCTTTCTTTGAAGTTCTTGGAGTTTGGAGAACTCCAACACCATATGCTTGTTCTTGGGTGACTTCTAAACATATTTAAGATCTTTTGTTTTCATGCAAAGGATTCAAACCTTTTTATAAGCATTTAGGAGTTAGGGTTTGAGTTTGATTTTGCATGGGTTATGGTATGGATTGTAGCATCCCAAAAAATCACGCTAAAAATTTCATTTTTAAAAAAAAACCTAATGACTGTATTTGTTTGCAAAACACTGTTGCCTAAAGTTATAATTACAAATCATAGTATCCCAAGATCAAATATTATAAAATCTAAAGGATGTGTATGATCAAGCCTTTGACTTGCCTCAATCATCTGAAGTACCTAAAACAATAAACTGAAAATGTAAGCATGAAGCTTAGTGAGTTCCCCCCCCCCCCTACAGTACCACCACATAACATATAACATATACAATCATGCATGTTAGGTCCAATCAGTCATCGATTGGAATACCCTCGGGTCCACAACCTCCCAGTTGGATTACCATGGCTCACAACCTCCCGGTTAGATTGCCATAAATACTACATTCTGGGTCCACAACCTCTCGGTTGGATTACCCTTAGCCCATAATGTCCCGGTTAGATTGCCAAACATACTATATATTGAGTCCACAACCTCCCAGTTGGATTGTCCCGGGTTTGTTGACTGGAAGCACAAAGTAATGCAGTCTCAACCCAACCACAATATAACATAAACATCAGATAAACTTATAACCATTCAACAAAAAAACAGGTAGATCTACAGATCACTACCGCATAACAACATCCTATATACTGGGATACATATCTAACGGTGTAACATCCTGTGTCCTGTCATTTATTATTTCAGGGTCGTGGGCCGAAAGTCAATTGTGTAAATGCTTTGGGCCTTAAGGAAGTTATGTTTAGACATTTTGGAATGAAGCAATGATGGTTATGAGATCTAAACCTTTGAATTATGTTTTGGGTCGAAAGATAGAACGAGAAAAGTCATAGGTCGGGTTCTTGCATGAAATATGGATTTTTGTTTGGGAAGTTTTTATTCCAGGATATTTAGATATGGTTGTAGATCTCCTCAATACATTTACATGGATATAAAGAACATTGAAAATGGAGTTAGAACGAAGAAGTTACGACCGTTTGAAGTTAGGACAATTTTTGGGTTAGCCACGTACGTTGGGCGTACTAGGGCATCCCTACTACGCTCGGCATACGCGACCAGTGCCCAAAACCTATTTTTGTGGTTTAAGCATTATTAAAGCTCCTTAACTTCCCCAAACCCATTCCATTCTTAGCCTCTACCTCTCCCAACACGCTCCTTTGAAACCTTAACCCTAGTTTGAGCCTTGTGAGCAAAAAGAAGGTGTTTTTAAGTGCTTTGGAGCATTCTTGGTTCACCTTAGAGAATAAGGAACTCATTGAAGAAGTGTTGGTTGCATTGGAGCTTGTATATCCAGACCTTGTTCACCTTGATCTTTCTATTGGAGGTATAAACTTTGAATCTTAATGATGAAATTATTAGATCTAGCTAATTTTGGGTGTTATGAGCTTTTGGTCACTTTAAGTGCATAAAGTTTAGATCTTTAAAGTTTGTGACCTTGTTATGGATAAAATTGGAAACTTTATCCATCTAAACATCATATTGATTCAGATATAAAGGTTGGACACTTGGACTTAATGGATTAAGTTGAAAAAGATGCATTTTTGGTCCCTTTGAGACTTAAAGACTAGATATTGTTTGTTAGGACCATTCTAATGGATAAAGTTGGATACTTTATCCATTATGGAGTTATTAGTAACCATAAAAATGTGATCTTAGTCCTTTTATCCGTTCCATACAAGAGTTGTGATGTCTTAATGGATTAATAAGTTAGGGTTTTAGCTTTTGGACCTTCCCTAGCCATGGAAAGTCATAAAGGTGGAAAATTTATGACTTAAGACAATGTTTTGAGGCTTGATCTGAGTTTGGGTGAAAAGTCCTTAAGGGATTAAATGCTTAATGAATGAGTAGGGTCAAGTTGTGTACGATGGGCGTACGTTGAGTACGTTGGGGTGTACTCAACTGTCGTGGACTTTGACTTTTGTTAACTTTCGTTGACCATTGACTTTTTGACCAAGTTTGACCTTGGGTAAAACTTGAGGATTTTGGGCCATTGATGAAGATTTTTTTTGGTTCTAGTGTTAGTGGATTCATGGGAGGAAACCATACAGAAGGGAGCATATCGCAGTCTTTCAAGGTTCTTCGATTCAGGTGAGTTTCACCTTATTGTACCCGTGGGTCGAATGCACCAATGTTGACCCACTAGTTTTAGTTATCTTTAGTATAAGGATTCCATGGGGACTGTATATAGTCATGTAGGATAGACTGAGGACTCTTGATCTAGGTTCTTTTATCTGTATTTTGTTTGGTTGTGGTTCCATAGTAGGATCACATGTTTTGGTATCTATGTCACCCCTAAGTATATAAGGTTATGTATTCCTTGGATTGTTAGTATTTAGTATGTTGTTATGTTGAAGTGACCTGTTAGACATGTATCCTGGTAGTTTTTATGTTGCTATGTTGTAGTGACCTGTTAGATCTGTATCTTGGTAGTTGGTACGTTGCTATGTTGCAGTGATATGTTAGATATGTATTGTGGTATTTAGGATGTTGCTATGCAATAGTGATCAGTAAATGTGTATGTCTACCTATACTTGTTGGTTATCATCTAGAGGAGTATCTTAGGGACTGTATGTGGTCATGTAGGATAATATGAGAACTCTTGACCTATGTTTTCTTGCCTTTTTGTGTAACGCCCCGATTCTCAGGTATTGCTTAAATAAGATTTTTTTTTGTTTAACTTTACTCAACGAGTTGGTTGACCTACTCGTCGAGTAGCAGCGGGGTGGGATCGTGTTTTAAGTGACCTACTCGGTGAGTCCATGTTGGGACTCGGCGAGTAGGAGCTAGCAGTGGAAACCCTAAATCCTGGGGTT